CACAGAACAATATGTAATTCACCCCTGGTCAAACAAACCAAGCAATCACCAAAAGTACCTGTACCAAAAGCCAAAGTCTCCTGTCTAGCTAGAAATGATAGATAAGGCTGAAGTTGATAAGGCCAAACCCTTTGACAAAAAGAACGAAACTTCCATTTCTGAAGAGCGCATGAAACCCACCAATCTGGCAACCAGAAATACGAGCCAACAGAGAAGACCACCTTCAGAAACAATCCTAGCATGTTCAGGGAAGTGATGAAATAATGGTGGCCATTCTCTATGTGCACTGCGAGGTGCTGGATGTATGCACGTTTTAGGACGTCCCGAACACTTTTACTGTAATGAGCAATCAATGGTTGAGTGGGTGTAGTACTAGCCTGCTATGCTTGTGGACTAGGTTCAAATTCTTGAGGGATCATTCGGAGTTATGTTGAAAAACTGATGCTTGGGACAATTCAAGTTTTACCCATTAACCCCTCAAAGAGTGGTTATCATGATGTGTTGATTCACAGGGTACTGTAGTTGCCATCATATGTTTATTTAAACTATTATTGTTTGGGTTTTACACATATGATACTAATGTTGATTTAATACCTCTATATGGATATAATGGAGTGTACCTTGACACAAAAAATTCCTGTACTGTTTCATGATATTGTTACTACTTTACAAATATTACTATGCGAATACAATAATCGTCACTGAATAAAATCAAAATTATAATTAGATGTTCATGGTGTTCACAACTCTTATGTTGTAATAAGGTATACCAGGTCAACCAACCATCATCGGAACATAATAAAGAAACTACAAAAGGCCTATTGACCCCATACGAGGTCAACGACAATTCAATACCCTCTCACAAGCATGATAAATATTGCCAGAACAAAAGTGGACTTGAAAAAAAAATTAGACAACAGAATCAACTGGATGTGTAGTGGATGTGTGTGCATGCAGATTCCTCCAAGCAATAGTGTGTTGGACGAAGTTATCACAAGTCAAGCCTGACTGAAGTCAGACTTGTGGGTGTAAAAATACTCTTGGAACTCACTCCGGATATGATCCAGATATCTTACTCACCGTAACCCTCTTCACTAAATACAGTCTTCTTCACAGTAACCACCTTGATTACCCAGGTATAGATGGGGGGTACCAGCGATAACTAACATCATCACTATCTTCCCTCGCCTTCATCATCACACCTACCCTTCACCACCTTTCCCATCCGTCCTTACAATTTACGATCACCCCAACTCTTCACCACCTTCCGTACCCATACCCACCTTCCCAACACTTCCCCACCAACCCAATCCTTCATCACTTTTCCAAATATTATTTATATTATATATACAGTGGCGCCTCAATTAACGAATTTAATCTGTTCCGCACCGAGCTCGTCATGTGAAAAACTCGTTTTGTGAAACAACAACAAATCTGTTGTCGGAGGTCTCCAAGAACTAGCGGGAACGCTCGTTACCAAGAGAAAGCTCGTCAGTCGAGACATATTTTCTGCGAGTAGCTTGCTTGTTACTCGAAATACTCGTAACTGAAGCCGCTCGTCACTTGAGGTTCCACTTCATATATATATTATATATATATATATATATATATATATATATATATATATATATATATATATATATATATATATATATATAACTGAAAACTCACACCCCAGAAGTGACTCGAACCCATACTCCCAGGAGCAACGCAACTGGTATGTACAAGACGCCTTAATCCACTTGACCATCACGACCGGACAAAATGAGGTGATAGCCGAAGCTATTTGAGCCACCCCACCGCCGGCACTCGGATGGTAATCTTGGGCATAGCATTTTACCAAATCACCTCATTCTTTGGGGCACACGTGAGGAACACAAATGCGAACAAGCCTGAATGGTCCCCAGGACAATATGCAACTGAAAACTCACACCCCAGAAGTGACTTGAACCCATACTCCCAGGAGCAACGCAACTGGTATGTACAAGACGCCTTAATCCACTTGACCATCACGACCGGACAAAATGAGGTGATAGCCGAAGCTATTTGAGCCACCCCACCGACCGGCACTCGGATGGTAATCTTGGGCATAGCATTTGGCTAATCCCGGCTAATGTGGTTTGGTATAGGTATGTTGATGATATTTTGTGCTTATGGCCGTGTGACAAAGACCAGATAGTTTTTCTTAATGAACTCAATTCTTTGGTATCTTCAATAAAATTCACTTGTGAGACTGAGGAGAATGGTACTCTTCCGTTTTTGGACATTATGATTCATAGAGTCACTAGAAAGTTCAAATTTAATGTGTATAGGAAACCTACCAACGTTGGGTCGTATGTTCATTTTTATTCGAATCATCATAGTAAAGTTAAACAGGCAGTATTTTCAGGAATGTTTCTACGAGCTTTGAGGGTTTGCAGCCCTGAGTTTTTTGATGAAGAGATTGCTAAAATATATGAAATTGGGAAGAGTTTACAATATCCTAAGAGGTTTTTGGATTTCTCGTTTGTACAAGCCAAGCGTACGTTTTATAATCACGTCCCTAAAGCGAAACCAAAAATTATTAACTCATTGGTGGTACCTTATGCGAGTGGACTTGAAAAATTGTCTCTGATTTTTAAGAAACTTAATATAAATTTGGTGTTCACTAATAGTACGATCAAATCCAATTTAATAAAAAACTCCCCTGATACAGCAGGTTGTGTGTATTCGATTCCCTGCAATGATTGTGATTTTGTGTACCTTGGACAAACAGGAAAGTCCTTACAAATGCGGTTGTCACAACATGCTTATAGTATTAGAACTGCCCAAACGTCTAATGCATTGTATCTACATACGAGTTTATGCGATCACAATATTAACTGGAATGGGGCAAAAAGCATTACCAATTGTGGGGATTTCGTGGAACGGAATTTGATTGAGTCTGCTCTAATCAGTCAGTGTCCAAATCTTCTTAATGTCAGTACTGGAATGTACAAACTTGATCCATTTTTAAGTTATAATATTGCACAACAGTTTAAGAAACAACTCTGATAGAGATGCTTACAATGTCTCATTATAATTGTATATTCATATATTGTGTGTTCATGAGGCTTTTCTTTAATCTTTCATCCTTATTCTCTGACCGCTTAATCCTCTTTGACCATTCTAAGCTAAGCTATACCTGTTTTTGGTTAATTACACCTGACCAACCCTTGGGATGGGGTGGTCAGGTGTCGGCCTATATATCTTCCCCCCTTCTCCCTTCTCCTTAGTCAGTCTGGTGTTGACAAAGGCTTTAACAAAGCCGAAACGTTCACCTCATTTCATATTTCTCTGTGGATTTTCCGCATAAAATGATCAGTGTTTTGTGATCGTCAATTGCATATATACATATATATATATATGTCGTACCTAGTAGCCAGAACACACTTCTCCGCCTATTATGCAAGGCCCAATTTGCCTAATAAGCCAAGTTTTCATGAATTAATTGTTTTTCGACTACCTAACCTACCTAACCTAACCTAACTTTTTCTGCTACCTAACCTAACCTAACCTATAAAGATAGGTTAGGTTAGGTTAGGTAGGGTTGGTTAGGTTCGGTCATATATCTACGTTAATTTTAACTCCAATAAAATAAATTGACCTCATATATAATGAAATGGGTAGCTTTCTCATTTCATAAGAAAAAAATTCGAGAAAATATATTAATTCAGGAAAACTTCGCTTATTAGGCAAATCGGGCCTTGCATAGTAGGCTGAGAAGTGCGTTCTGGCTACTAGGTACGACATATATATATATATATATGATGTACCTAGTAGCCAGAATGCACTTCTCAGCCTACTATGCAAGGCCCAATTTGCCTAATAAGCCAAGTTTTCATGAATTAATTGTTTTTCGACTACCTAACCTACCTAACCTAACCTAACTTTTTCGGCTACCTAACCTAACCTATAAAGATAGGTTAGGTTAGGTAGGGTTGGTTAGGTTCGGTCATATATCTACGTTAATTTTAACTCCAATAAAAAAAAAAATTACCTCATACATAATGAAATGGGTAGCTTTATCATTTCATAAGAAAAAATTAGAGAAAATATATAAATTCAGGAAAACTTGGCTTATTAGGCAAATCGGGCCTTGCATAGCATGCCGAGTACGACGTTCTGGCTACTAGGTACAATATATATATATATATATATATATATATATATATATATATATATATATATATATATATATATAATAAGACATATATATTATATAATAAGTTTATAATATATATATATATATATATACATTTTTTTTATAACCTAGAAGGGGTACCACCTCTGGTGCAAGTGTAGGGACCCATAGCCTTGGAAAATAAAATAAAGAGTACTCAGAGAAGACCTTGTGGATCCTCACTGAACACACTGATATTTTCTTCTCCTACCACCCCTGTTCTTTTGGTATGTGTGTATATTTATCTAACTTTATTTGAAAATGTCATTACACAAAAATATATATATATACTTATATATATATATATATATATATATATATATATATATATATATATATATATATATATATATATATATATCATGCATTGAGCCAGTTAGTAAGTCTAATAAATAAACAACAAACAACTATACAGTACTGGGATTATTCATATTAGTTGGTTATATACTACAAGATAAACTAAAAAGTTTAAATGAGAAATAAAGTGCATAGTGGTAGTTTTACCTTTAAAATTCAATAAAAAAAAGTAATCGTAACACTATGTAACAGTATTACCTACATTTTACAAATGCAGCACAGGCTGCAAGATTTACCGTAGGCATGAGCTATTTACTACTGAGAGACACTTCTGTATTTACAATGAGGAAAGCAGAGGTCATCACAATATTTGTCTATTTAGAGGTAAGTACAGTACTGGTAACAATTTAAGTATTAAATAACAAAACAGAAGTAAGAAGGATTAGGAAATCAAATATGAAGCAATTGGGAAATCCTGCAAAATACTCTATCCTACTCCAACCTGAATAAAAACTGTTCTGACCCCAATGTGGGGTAGCAGAGGCCTGAGCCTGGACTGGTAAGTAGTCTGGGGTGGGGTCGTTAGCCAGGATTTGCTCGTTATCTCTAGCAGGGGCTTTAGGTTTAGCCTCCTCCTCCTTCTCCTCCTTATGCGAGTGTGCATAGTGGTAAGTTAGGCCAGGCCGCGTCTTGTACCGCATCCCACACACTGCAACACACCAGTAAATATGCCGCACACACTCCACACTTTCAGATCAACTTTAATAACATAAGATAGTAGAAATAAAACTTACCACACATCGACCACCCAAAGCATTACAGAGCTCAATGAATAATTTAAGAACAATTCAAGAATGAATAATTTTAGCTTCAAAAATGCTAAGTATTTATATAACAAAACATAGCTTTAACAATGCTAAGTATTTATATAACAAAACATTTGAGAACTCAACATGAAGAGCCTTGATTTTTATTTTAACTTTACTATTAAGCAAAATCTTTTAAAATAAATAATTGGTAAACAATAATACAGTGGATGGATTAGATTTTATGGCACTTCAAAATGTAATTACATTTAAAGTTTTACTAATTGGATTATTAACACAAATACACAGAAGTGTTGAAATACTGAATAATTTCACATAATGACTTAGGTTGAGTCATAAATATATAAAGAATAAATGTTGAGTCTGGTAATGGTAAACATTGCCACCTGGAGTGACCATCAGTAATACAGAGAAAGTAATATACAAGCACCAATAAACCACTTTCTAAGAATCACAGAAGTCAAAACCAATAACAGAAAGAGCAACTCATCAAATTTAACAAAGTACAATAAAATGGTAACTTAAATTACAGAAGATAAAAGGAAGCGACCAAATACAGAGAACACAGCGGCTTCTGAATGAATGGCAGTCACAGCAAGACTCAAATCCTATTTTAAATCAGAATCATCTAAAAAGAATACAAATTACAGAGATCAACAATGGAATAAACAATTACACAATTTACAAGATTTTACTACTTGTACAATTACTTGTAATAGTAAATTAAAAAGTAATGCAGCAGTAATTACAAAAATGCAGCAACTATAGTAGAATTTTAACAATACTGGGAACTAATAGCTACACTAGAAACCAAGAAAAATAAAAAAACTGACATAGCTACAACTGAAGTAGCAAGAGAAGTAAAAAAATAGAGCAGCAACAACTACATTATATGCAGCTACAGTAGCAATAACTATTGCAGCAACAGCAGCAGTGAAGCTGCATCTTCAACTACAATACCCTATTTGCTTCCAACAGATATTACAGTACCAACAATGCAGAAACAGCAGCAGCATAAACACAGCATAAACAGTAGTTGCAGTGACTACAGAAAAAATCATTGTAGAAGCTACAACAGGAACAGAATCTGCTACAAGAAGGGCCATTTCGTTATCTTACTACAAAATAACTGACTACAATTACTGCATAAACATTGTAGACATTAGAGCATGTTATATAACTTTAAAGTCATTGTACTGGCACAAGTAAAATTTTGTTTAAATGAATCATATCTGTATGGGGGAAAAAAAAATAAACAGTGGCATTAGCGCTAATCATACCTATAATATACAGTGTACCACAAATTATTAAAACACATTCAAGCAATGGATAACAAAATAAAAACAAGTTAACCAAAATAGCAATTACAGCACATACACTGCTCGACACCTTCATAGGTCCAAGAGAAATGAATAAATAGTAAAATAAATAATTGCAGAAACTTATTAGTTCTATATAAGAGAAGAGTTCAGTAGAAATATTAAAGCAATTTTTTACTCTAGCATCTTTTAATTTTAAATGTTTTAATATATTTTGGAATAAAATTAATGTATACCTATACCCCCTAAGAGGAAAACATAGATAGCAGTCAATCATTGGCATTAATGTGACGCGTGGCCATTTTGTTTGGTTTGTGGAAAGAACACAAGCATTGAATATTGTGCCTACAGTACAGTTTAGCACCAGTAACAAAATAAGAGAAATTATAAATCATCTTTTTTAGCAGTCTTAAATGTATTATAAATGTGAAGAAAAGGACAGGTGATAAATGCTCATGGGTAACAACAGAAAGCCATTAAAATAGTGCTGATTGAAAGCAGACAGGAATAACAAATACTGGAAGCTACTAATACATTCTTAAATGATCTTATAATGTAAGCTGATTCAAGTACAATACAATACATAAGAAACCAGCATTGAATGTAATGAAACGCCATTTTTTGGGCAAGTCCCAGAGGCTCCCCGGAGTTTATTAGGCTGATATGCTAATGTTAGACTTTGGCATCAGTCATGTGTATGGAGTTCTTATGGGCCTACTGGGGACCACGAGCCAGAACCTGGCCCCCTCTAGAGAGGCAAGGGGAGCAATGGCCTACAGAAACCCCCGTGTAATTGGAAGCATTCTATGTCTGCCATCGACCGGGTTAGGCACCCAGAAAGGTAGGCGTCCCAAAAGAAAGTCCCTATTCTGGTGAAAATTGCAACCAAAAGCTGAACGAGTGGATAGAACTCCCCCAAACAAAAACGAGCAAACAAGTATGACGTCATCTGTCGTTGCGCCGCTGTCTGTGCAGCCCCCCCCCCCCCGGGAGGGGGAAGGGGCAGCCCCAGACCTACCCCGCCCCAGTTCTGAGGCTAGATGTCAAAACACGTGAAAAAAACGCCGACCAGAGATAGGGAGGGATGCCGGGGAGCCTCCGGGTCTCACCCAGAAAATGACGTTTCATTACATTCAAGGCTCGTTTTCTGGGGTGAGCCTCTACGGCTCTGTTACGAACCCGATTCCATCGTCGGAGCACGGCGCAGTGACGTCAATGCCATCTGTGAGTCCGCTCCCGAAACCCCCCACAAATTGGACGACGCCATCTAGTGGTGACAGGATTATACCAGCAAGAGGCGCTAGATTCCTGCCCTAGTCAGCTCAACAGGTAGCTGGTGCTGACCTCTGGTGAGGTGGCGCCTAGAAAATCAGCGCCATCTGTTATAGGAGGAGTTGTATGTCTGTCAGAGTACGTAAATGATGTTTCCTAGTGTCCCACGTACTGACCAGTGTACTGATAACGTGTCTGTATGCACAGAGTCGACGTAGGGCTGCTGTAGTACGAGGACAGTCAAGTCTACCCAGGGCAGCCAATAGCTCTCTACTCCATTCTGCTTTACGGAAGCAGTGAGCCGCTGCTGGAGAAGAACTGTGTACTGTAGTGTTCTACTGTCTGCCTGTGAAGTGGCAGGGACAGAATTCGGCGTACCCGGGACTGGCTAACGGAAGAGACGACTGACAGTAAGGTGCTACAGAGAAGTGTAACCAGCGAGTTGCAAGAAGGTCCTGCCAGGGGTTCGCTACCCTTGTATTTATACATGAAGAGGCCCAGCAGCGCGAGGCTGATGTTCTCTGCCAGCACCAGGCTAGAAAGTGATTGTAGGCGTGCACGAAGAGCACCAAGTGAGACTGTGTTTTGGCTGGCCCGTGGCTAGGGTAGACTCGTTGGTGTTTCCCAGTACTGTGTTGAGGAAACACGGTAGCTGATAAGACTGCATCGATCGAGCATCGAGGAGCGCTTAGTGTCCTATGAGAGAGACACTTGTGTACATATTAAGTGTAGTAACACTTCCTTTAGGATTACATATGAGGTGATGGGAAAGTGATTATACAGTATGTGAATATATTGATAATTAATGAAGTGTCGTATTCACTGCACCTTCCCCATTGTGTTTTACTTGCACTTGTGTTTTACCGAGCTCACTCCTTGAAAGCCACTACTAACTTGGGGCCGGATACCAGAACTTAGCAAAGAACCCGGTTGCGACCCATTGTGGCTGTAACAGGCTTCCCAGAGCTAACTACCCACAGAGGAAAAGAATAGGGACTTACCCGGGAGGTGGTTGCTGCTCACTCCTCAACCCGAAGTCGAGACAACTGGCTGCATCCGCCGACCCAAAGCGACATAGGCCCGAACGGGCCCAGGAACGTTTACAAGGTAACGAGCAGCCAGGACCCCTGTTCGACCGCCAAAATCCCCACGCCCGAATGTCAGCCCAGGACATATTGCTAAAGACGGCGGCAAGAGCCGCGAACTTGTGGACGTCATGGGCACAGGGATAGACCACAGGCTGGCTAGCCTTAATAACCCTGCGGACGACCTGGAAGTCCCGCACCCTCAAATAGGAAAGAAGGGAAACCGGATCAACCCAAAGCGCATCCACGGACGCATATTTGGTGAGCAAATAACGGCAGAGAGCCGCAACCAGACACAAAACATGATGCACCCCCGGCCGAACCAACCAAGCATCAACAACATCAGGAACCCCTCCGGAATGCAGCAGGTCTCATTCTTCCCCAGAAAAGGAGGAGAACGCTATAGACAAACAAACCAATCACCCAGACCGAAGGAGCAGAAACCTCTGCGAAGGAGGAGAGCATGAAGCTCAACCACCAGACCCCCAGAGGCCAACGCCAATAAGAAAAAGAGCCTTCGAAAAATAATCCGGAACCGAAGGGGCCACAACAAAATGAGGAGAAGAAAGAAAAGAGAGCACTCTGTCCAATGACCAGGACAGCTCAGGCGGTGCATGAGCAGGCTGGTGGTGAAACAACGTCCGAGACAGCTTGTGAAACGGCGCAGACGTGACATCAATACCAAAAGCAAGGTGAAGCGGCTCCTCCAGCGCCGCACGATACGAGGCGACAGTGTTTGGCATAAGAAGACGGTCCTAGAACAACCAAGAGAGAAAGGACAACACCACCCTAACAGAAAGCGAAGTACAACGACGAACACGTAAGAAGAACCGGAAGGACCGCCAGGAAACTTCATACTGCCGCCGAGACGAAGCCTGCAGGTGAGACTCTAATAAGGAAGCCACCTGATCACAATAGAGATGATGATAAACTCGAGTCAAAATACCATACGCGAAGACTCGAGAAGAAGATCGAACCATCCACGTGACGTACCGGTCCGATCTGCTGGAAAAGGCAGAGCTGCGGAAAAACCTCCGGGTTTGGACACCGAGCAAGCAGCGCCTAAAACCACGGCTGGGCCAGCCACCAAGGGGCCAAGAGGACAACTCTCCCCTGGTAAGTCTCTACGCGAATCAGGACCTGGAGCAACAGCTAAACCGGGGGAAAGAGGTACAGGAACCCCCACCTCAACCAGTCCTGCCGAAA